GTGAGATGAATGAAAAGCCCGAGACAGAGTTTCTGGGTAACTAATAATCAATTTATTAATTAGGCTAGCAAATAATCAATAAATTGTCAGTGGTCTTTCTCAGTAACCAAAGACAAAACCACAGAGATCACTGAATGCTTAAATGCTTTTGGAAAAGGAGATGTCCCTGACATGAAAATCAGCCCTGACTGGTGAACAATTAACAAGGAAATAGGCTAAAAATCTTGAGTTACTCCAGCTGACAAGGTGACTTGATCATGAGACTCAGCTGCCTCCAGCAATCTGGACAAAGGAATCCATCTGTACCTAGATCACTCTGGGTTTTTTTTTTCATAAGCTGGGTCACCCTAACCTCCAATGGGGGGGCTGAAAGGACATAGACTTCCTAAGGGCAAGAATTCACCAAGATGGCAGAGCATATATTTGGGCAATTTAATCTATCAGCAATGTCCTTCAAAGGCTGAATGATCTGTAAGGGCTGGTCCGAGAATAAGGAAATAGAAAGGAAGAATCTCAATCCTAATTTAATAATTTAATTTCTCTCAAATGTACGCTTAACTTTTATTCCTGGAAAAACTATAAAAACACAGTAATGGGGTGAGTTGTGAAACCTTAGAAAGGGAAGCCATGGTCACTAAAAGCCAGCATGGCTTCTCAAAGAACAGGTGATGCCACAGTGACCTCATCTCCTTTTTTGAGAAATGCTTAAGGTAGGTCAGGGTCTCAGCTTCACTTTCCTAAAGAAGGAAGCCTGGCTATGTTCAAGCCCCATATTTTACATCAGGGAACTGAGGTTCAAAGACGCAATGAAATAACTTGCCTGAGATTCCCATTAGTGACAGTCAGCAAACAGTCAGGATGCAAGCCAAGGTGCTTTGTCAACCCAGTCTTATTTTTTTCCGTACCAGACTGCCTCAAAAGAACGTGTGTGGGCCAAGAACTGTGCCTACTTCACCTGCCTAGAAGATAACCATGCTTCCCACCTTCCCACCAATGTGGCTAAATTGGCAAATAACACGAAGTTGGGAGGAAAGCGAAAATGCTGGACAAAGGAGTCAGATATAAAAAGACTTAGGCTAGAATGGGCCAGATGTAATAAGACAAAAATTAATAAGAATAATTGTGAAGTTCTACCATCGGGTTAAAAAAAATTAGCTTCACCCCTTCCAAAGGAGAAGAATGACTAGATGATAGTTGTGTGAAAAAAAATATCTGGGAAGTTTAATATGAATCAGCAGTATGGTTAAGTGGACAGAGTCCTGGACTTGGAGTCAGGAACTCCTGAGTTTGAACGTTGCCTCTGATACTTAGCTGTGTGACCTTGGAAGAGTCACTTAATGTCTCTCAGCCTCGGTTTCATCTGTAAAATGGGTATAATAAAAGAACCTACCTCACAGGGTCGTGAGGAATAACCTACACAAACACACTCACCCGCACCCCTTTGTAACTGTTAAAATAGTATGTAAATATTAGTTATTATTATTAGTATAGCAGCCACCATTCACTAATATGTTATAAGGCCCCATTAAGAAAGACTTGTGCAGAACGCAAGTGGTAAGAGTTCCACAGCTCTCTGCCCTAGTCAGAAAATATTTAGAGAACCATACTTAGCTCTGGTCCAACTTATTAAAAACAATTTAGACAATATAGGTGCCTTTAAAGGAAAGCAACCAGGATAGTGACAGATCTGGAATATATGCAATATGAAGACTGATTGAAAGAGCTGTGGGAGTTTAACTGGGAAAATGGAAGATTCAGGAAGGAAAATGGCAGTAGTCTTCAAACATCTGACGTACCACCATGTGAAAGATTTGTTTCGATTTGATGTATCTGAGAGTTTCATGGATAGAATCTGTAACACTTGATAACTGATTGAATATGACTGGGGTGGAGTGGAAAAAAGTTAAAAATAATAATGATGGCTAAAATTTATATAGTATCTTCTATGGGCCAGGCACTTGGCTAAGCACTTTATAAATATCTCATTTGATCCTCACATACCCTGGAAAGGAGGTGCTATTATTATCCCCATTTTACAGATGAGAAAATTGAGGCAAACGTTAAGTACAGGATCACACAGCCAGTAAACTTCCGAGGCCAGATTTGAACTTAACTCAGGTTTTCTTGACCCTACATCCAATGTTCCATCCACTGTGCAACTTAGCCGCCTATTAACACTGTGGTAAGGGCACCAAATCCTTTAATACTGCAAAGCCTCCTAAATGAAACCCATAATCGCTCAAAAAGTTTGGCCTAACTCCTCTTATAGGAAAAACCAAGCGGGCAGAGAAGAATTATGGTCCAAACCATGACATGCAGTTAAATAGCCATTGGGCTATCTCTTCCTTTTGGACAGTCCCTGAAAACACTAGGCTACATTGCACTTGGGAGTTGTACAGTACTTTTAATGATCCTAAGATTATTTCTGAAAAAAAAAAGGCTCATCCTTTCAAAGATATTTGCAGGGAAACTATATGACTATGAATTATGGAATAGTACCTTTTCCAAAGAATTAGTTATTTATAATGGAAAGAACTATGGTAGGCACAAATAACATACTAAAAAAAGAAGCAATGCTGAAATATAACATTAATGAAAATAAAAGATACCTTATCATATATCCACTAGGATATACACTCCTTGAGACCATGGATTTTTCTTTTCTTTTCTTGGTATTCCCAACATACAGCACAGAAAGTAATAAGGGCTGAATAAATGCTTGAAGACTGACTGATACCACATAAGAGATATATGAGTAGAAAAGAAAGTAGGCCAGTTATGCAAGAAGACCAAGGGGTAACATGATGGGAAGCCCATATCCTCCACCTGTACTTATTTATTGTCAAGAGATCTAGAGATACACATAGAGGGTGAATTCTTAACCAAACAAGGGATAGAGGCAATTACAAAAGATAAAACAGGGCTAACTCTGATTATATGAAACTGAAACACTTCTGCACAAACAAAATTAATATATTTAGAATAAGAAGAAAAGTATTTAACTGGGAAAAATATCTTTGTATCAAATACCTTTGATAAAGGTCTAATATCCAACATATATAGACAATTAACAAAAATATAAAAGATCAAAAGCCATTCTTTAATAGGTAAGTGCTCAAAAATATGAACAAACATTTCTCCAAAGAAATACAAATTATTAACAACCCTATGAAAGAATGCTCCAGATCAAATGTAAATCAAAACTACGCTGAAGCTTCACTTTATATCCAGCAAATCAGCAAAGATGACAAAAAATGAAAATGGTCAATGTTGAAGGGTTTGTGGAAAGACAGGCAAAGCGATGGATTATTGGTAGAGCTGTGAATTGTTACAGCCCTTCTGGAAAGCAACCTTGAATTATGCAAAGAAAGTTACTAAAACGTCTATTACTAGATGTTACTAGATGTATATATACCCCAAGGAGGTCAATGACAAAAAATCTCCGTTTCATTAAAATAATGATAGCAGCATTTTTTGAGCTGGCAAGGAATTGTAAACCAAGTAGATGACCACTGGCTGAAGAATGACTGAATAAGTTGTGGTACATGTATGTAACAATATTACTGTGTTGTAAGAAACCATGAACATGATGAATACAGAGAAGCATGGAAAGACTTACATAAAGTGTTACAAATTAAGCAGAACCAGAAACACAAGATACACACAAAGACTACAATAACGTTAATGAAAATTACAATAATCGAAATTGAATGCTGTAAAATTATAACCAAGCTGTGCTCCATGAGAAAACACTTCACTCTGCTGCTTTTAAAAATTACATGTCCATAAAATACCAGACCTATTTGCTATGTTGTTTAGATTTGCTGAAATCTTTTTTCCTTCCTTTTCTCATTCTTTATTATAAGGGTTGGCTCGGGGCAAGGGGGGAGATATTGGTGGGAAACCTAGGAGAGAAGTCCAGAAGGCCCCCAGCATGTTAGGCGGGCCCCTGGTGAAAGACTTAAGGGAAGGCATAGATAAAGATTGCACAGAGTAAAGTATAGCTAGGTACTTATGAACCAATGGAATACTCACATCAACGAGATAACAGTGGCTAGCTAGTATTCAGATATATTAAGGTACTACCCTTTTCATTTTCGAAGACGATGCTCCTTGAGAGTAAGGTTTTTTTTTTTTTTGGTTATTGTTGTTACATCTCCAGCTCTTAGAACAGTGCCTGGTTCACAGGAGAGAAGCTGGGGCTAAAAATACAGATTTAGCAGTCATTTAGCGATATGGTTGAATCTGATGAAATAGAAACTAAAGGACATAAAGGAGAGGGGCTACAAGGAAAGTGGCCTCAAATTCACTTTTAATTGCCTTCTAGCATCTTTGCCCTTACCATACTCATAATTATTTGTGTAGGATTTTTTCCAAAATAAGACTGCAAACCCTCGAGGTCAGTGTGAGTTCTATTTCCATGTTCTAGAATTTAAGAGTTTTATGAGTTAAAAATGCTATTTTGTTAGAGGATGACTCACTCTAACATGCACAAAGGAAAAAATGCCTTTGAAGACAAGTAGAGAAAGAACTACAAACAAAAAAAAATTTGAGAAAAGTCTGTTGTATTTGGCAATTAGGTCATTTAGTGTCCTTTGTTATTTTGGTGACAAAGCAAGATTATAACAGGTTGAATAGGAAGCAGGTGGGTGTGGTTAAGAGAACACATCCTTAGCCAGGTGAAAAGAGAGTTGAGACGGCAACTAGAAGGAATAATACATTCAAGGAAGGGGCCAGTGAGGAGGGAGATGGAAGATGGGAGAGGCAGTTAATGAAGCTGTTTCACCAGAGGTTAAAGAGGACAGGAATCAAGGTCCAGGTGGAGAGGTTGGCCTTGGCTGGGAGAGGACAGGTATGGACAGTTGTTGAGATGAGTTAGATGAGAAGAGGCATGGAAATTGGCATAGTTCTCTAATTTCATTGATACAGGGAATTCCTGCACGAACACCCTTTATCAAGTTGGGCTGATCCCTTCTCTGCAACTTAAAAGTTTTAGCAGTTGCCAAGAGCAAAGTGACTTGTCCTGGGTCACACAGTCCACGTGAGAAGTGAGACCAGGTCTTCCTAGTCCCAAGGTCAGTTCTCTATTCACTTGATAGTACTTCCTTCTATGTAAATTCAAGATATTTAAATCTGATGGATTTGTCTTCTCAGTACCATTGCCAGCCAGATCATTTGCTACTAAGGGGCTAGGTAGGCTAGAGTACTTGATACAGGAAAAAATATTTGCACCACCCCTTAAGGGGATACAAGTAGTCAGTAATATATGAACAAGAGGTATGCTGAATAGCTGAATAATTACTGAAATTCTCTGACTTTCTCCAGTCACACTTGGCAGAAGAAGAACCACAGGGAAGAAAGCAGATATAATGGTGATTTATCTAGGGTTGGGGACTAACAGTGTAGGTTAGGATAACAGAAGTCAAAATGGTTTGAGATTCTAGGATGGTGCCAAGGTTGATAGTGACTGGAATTCAGACAGGATAGGGGAAAAAATAAAGGCCAATCGGGTGTGTAAATGCAAACTGGTAATACAAAGGCTTTGTCAATATTTAATGTAAATGTCTAATTTATTTTTAATAAGTTCCAAGCACTGTGTACAACAAATCACTCTGAACTTTCTTATTACCTCCTCTAGGTCCTGTATGTTCTACTTTTAATAGCTTTTTACCTTCTACTAGATTATAATCTGCTAGAGGTCAGGATCTTTTTATTTACATATCATCTATCACAGTAGCAAACATTAATGTTGAATGAACTATAATGAAAAAAAAAATTCCTATAAGTTAGCTCTCATTATTAGTGCAATAAACCGAACAGGTGATTACTTGGGTCCCTACCGTCAATCTAACACACATTTCGTTCCCTCCCCCCCAAAAAGCCCAACACCTTTGCAAGAAAACTAGATATCCTATTCTGCCAGCTGCTTTTGGACTTCCACGTTGGGTAAGGAAACACAGAAATCTCCGTACTGAAAACAACTTCCCACCTCCTATCCTCTGACACCCCTCGGTAACCCCCCTAAGGGTTCTCCTCCACCTAGGGTGGAAAGCCAGCAGGTAGAGAGGGTCCATTGCACCCCGAGGCAGTCTCTAATTGCTTTTCCCCGCCTTGGCAGCTTCCAACCACTGCCCCCAGGACTCAATGCATCTATCCCCATTTGCACAAGACAATCTTCAACAACTCTTTGGGCTCGGATCCCTCGTCCTCCCCCGCGGGCCCCTCCCCCCGTCTTCGCTTCTCCAGACTAACTCCTCTGTCCTTTCGACCGTATGGCTTTTTTTGTTTTTCCTCCCTTTTCTGTCTACTTTGCTCCAAGCTGCTTTCCTGAAAAAAGGCAAGGTCCAGGAGAAGGTCTTTGGCGAGGGCTGGAGAACGAGAATCCAGCGCAAACTCTGAAGACTCCAGAGGTTCAGAGGAAAGGCAAGCACTGTAACCGACTTCAAGCCAAGGTGGGGGGGAAGGGCTGTCTGAAACTAAGCTTCCGGCGCTCGCCGGGTGACGTCACTAAACGACGACGGCGCCAGCCTCTCTCAAGATGGCGCTACACCTGGTGCGAAAGGCGCTAGGTTGCCCCAGCTTCAATCGGGCATTTCATGGCGGAACCGTTGCGGATCCCGTCCCCCAGGTAACCAAAAGATGCCCCTCCTCCACCAGTCGCCGCTGCCACAGCCCCTCCCGCCCCTCGACGACTCTTTTCAGTTCCTTCTACCTCGCTTTTTCTCTGGGAAAGAGAGGCAACGGTGACAGCGCGGCTCTGACGCCGGTGCCGTAACCTTCATTTTGGAAAAGTTGCTTTTGACCCGGTGCGTGGTGACGTTAAGTGACGGGTGGACGTGTAGACCGCGCTTGCTTGAGACAACTGCGCCGACGCCAGTCACATGATCACAGTTCTCCCCTTTTCTCTTACTTCTTCCAGAGTAGTAGGCGGCTGTGATTCTGGAGCGCCGAATTTTTGCCTTCACCTCCTTCTGGCGCTTCCGGGCACGGTTTCCTCAGTTCTTGGAACCCGGCAACTGGCGCTGGGAGGTGCCTTAGAGGCCATCTCGCCCAGACCCCACATTTTGCGCGTGAGGAAACTGAGGCCCAGAGAAATTAAGTGATTTTCCGAGGCTCACCCAGCTACCTAGTAGATGACCCAGGATGGATTGGAATCCAGGTCCTTCAGTTCCAGTCCAGCGCTCGTTGCACTTTACCGCTCTAGCCTTATTCCTGAATCTGAGTAGACCTTTACTATGTAGCTATGCCTTCCCCTCCCTCAAACGGGAGGCCCAGTTGCATCTCCCAGAAAACACACATATTGGAATGGAATTTGGATGCCGCCTGCTCCAAATGCTTTCTTTTACAGAAAAAGAAACAGATCAGCAGGCTTGTCCACGATTACACAGTAAGTGGTAGAGCCAAGATTCAAACCTATGCCTTAAGTTTCCAAATCCGGCAGATTTCCCAAGATACCAGACTGCTTAAATCTAATAGGTATTTTGGCGTCAGGTGGCAGCTCCCCTCTGGGAAGGTTGAGAGAATGATGGGGTAATAAGATTTTTGTCTGATCAGTCTACACCCACACTCATCCTTACTGGCATTTGACCCTAAACTCAGAGCTTTTCTTCAGCAGTATCTTTAACCCCACTACAATGCTGCATCCAGGGGGCTCTTTGATAGAAATTAAGTAGCCAGGTGTTGTCTTCTCGGATTGAGATGTTGGAATCATGAATAGGAAGTGTTCAGCGTCCAGAGCAGTGGTCATGCTTTTTTCAGTACCTAAGATTTGTGATTTGAGCTTTATGGGAACTCTACACTGAGGCAAATTGAAGCTTCTCTAATAGCTAATTAGTAGCCAGTCACCAGTTGCTGTGGGCCAAACTTTACCACTTGATGGCTAACCTGGTGAAGAGTCTACACTTAGCCAGGTTGATTCTTGAACAGTGTCTGTCCATGTTAAAGGAACAGCTTAACAGAATCTGCCCATGGGAACTTGGCAGGTTATGTCCATGCCATAATGAAATATTGAAGGAGAACTTAGCTGGAGGGGCAGTAATATGAATTAAGGCAAGGAAAGTCAACAAACATTATTAAGCACCAGGCCTTGTAGTAAGTGCTGGGAATATAAATACAAACAGCCCTCAAAGGGTTTGCATTCTAAGGGAGGTGGGGGTGAGGAAGAGAAATACAACATATAAAAAGAAACTAAAAGCTGTGTGGTGTGGGGCAGAGGTAAGGGTACCACAAGTAGGACTTGGTTGAATCAGGAGTGTAGCCTGGAGAGGAATGAAGATATGGCTGACCTGGACAATCTTTTAAAAATAAAAGTTCTGGGAGGAAGCAGCCAATAAATGGGAGAGGCCTCAGGAGTGGAGTGTGCTCCTGTTGTGAGAAGTCTGGGGCTAGACTGAGTTTCCAGGCTGAAGAAGTTTGTTTTGCATGGTAGAGAAAGTCTGAGAAGTTAGGAGAGCAGCCTGAAGAGGTAAAGAAAAATGTCTCTGCAGAATCCATCTTTTATGAGAACTTGAAAAAAAATCTGGAGTTTTGCATTTTTATCAGACTGAGAAAATGAGGTCAGATAGTCACGTCAGGATTAATTTGGCATTATTTCACATTAGTTGGGGTGCTTTGATGCTGAGACCAGGAATAGATGGGGAAGATATAGGATGGAACTGGGATTGCCTGGAGGTTAGGGAATGGCTGATGGCAGCTGTAGAAAGGCAAGCCAGCACAGCATCTCTGCACTACAGTCCCTGTAGAAACTGATTTGAGTGGAAAATTATCTGAGGACAGGGATACAACTCTGAATTATCCTTAGAATGTTAGAATATTATTACAGCATTTTAACCTTGACTGTTCAAAAGTTCATTAATGACACGCCATATTGGTCAGACTGTAGGACATTGATCTTATAGCTCTGCTTTTATTCTAGATTCCCTCTTTTATCTCAGAAGTTTTAGCAGGCAAAATAGAATATAGGTCTGTAATTTTTAATCTTTGGTAATACTATGAGAAGTAAGAAATGATTATATTTACATATAAGGAAATTGAAAGGAAAGTAGCTCTGGGTCAGGAGCTTCCAGAACCAGCTAAAATTGGGTGAAACTGGTTGTTTGATTAAAGAGGCTGGAAGGAGGACAAAGGTTTAAGCTTTACTTAGAGTGTGTGTGCTTGAAATTTACCTAGGGAAACATGGGGTGGGCATTTAGGGAAGTCTGTGACCAGTGCTGACTTCTGCCTATGAAAGTCATCTAGGAGGGACATGCGGCCCAGAATAGGAATATAAGATTTGTTTTCGTTTCTGCAAGGTGTGTGTCCTTTTCTCGAGTTCCACACTCCAGCAAGCTTATTAAGGATTTCACTGCTTCATTCATCCTGAGTCTGTCTAACTTTATGTGCCTATTTGGGCACCGGAGGTTATTTCTAACATTACCTTGCCACATAATAATAATAGTTGCAATTTACATAGCTCTTAAAGGTGCTGTAGGTTTACAAAGCACTTTACATATGTTATTTTGATCCTCACAACAGCCTTGAAAGTTAGGTGCTATTATTATCCCAATTTACAAATGAGAAAGGTTAAGTGTCTTGCCCAGGGTCACACTACTAGTAAATGTCTGAGTTTAGATTTGAACTCAGGTCTTTCTGATTCCAGGCCCAGCACTCTATGCACTATATTACCTAGCTGCCATGTTTAATAGTAGGCACTTAAATCTTTTTTGAATAAATGAATGCAAATATTGGTGAAATAAGAAGCAAAGATTCTATAACACATATTGGTAAGGTACATCTGACTGGTATGAGAAATTTTACTGATAATAAACATTAAAGAAATGACATCATCATCTTCTACTGTCGCTTCTGTCACATTCATGCCTGAACAGCAGAACTGCTCAAGTTTAGCATCTGGTAATCTGGTTTGCTCCAAGGACTGATGTAATTACATAGAGAGAATTCTCATAGTCCACATAAAAAATTGGTTAAAGTTGGGATGAGTTTTTAGGGAAATTTGAATTTCAGTAGTGTTTCCCATATAATGACTTTTTTTTTCAAGGATAAGACAGTGAATCCAAACTTTTTATTTAAATTTGAGAGCTGTAAAAATTAAATGAGATGGTATATTTGAAAGCTGTTTTGAATGAATTGTCACATAAATGTTAGGCAATATTATTGTCTTTGGGAACTTTCGAGATATCTGAGAGACATGTTTGTCAAATGGTGTTCTTGTTAAAATGGTCTTAGAAAAGGACCAGTAAAAATTTATGGCCACTTTTCTTGTATGTGTCTTCCTCTTCTTTTGAGAAGTTGCCTTTGAAGAGCTCCATGAACAGATGCGGAGATATGTGAAGGGAAAATTGGGTCCTTAAAACAGATGCATTAGACATATTTATTATATCTCGTAACATGTGTGGAAAGTGAAAAATATTTTGTTTGAGCTGAGAACAAAGGAAAAAAATTCACATTTTAGCATTAGCTTTAGAAAGGTGCAAAGAAAGGAGTTGAGTTTACCATGAAATTATGATTAATTAATCCATCCCATAAGTGAGGGTGTTCTTACAAACAAAAATAAAGGGATCAAGCGTTATTTGTACTTGTAAATAACTACACATACTAAAACATGATTTTTAAAGATAATTTGCAAGTGGCTTACTAAGGGGAGATCATACTCCAAAGTAGTTAGAAATACAGTGTGGCAAAAGAAAGATAATTGTTACTGAGCTTGTATTGTTGAAGCTCAGTATTCCAATACTTAAAGGCTACATGTGGAGTTGCATCACACAATTTTTGGTAAAAATACGTAGTTAGGAATACAGAAGAACAGGCATAGATTTACCAAGTTATGGGATATATGCTAACTAGAAAAATGATTTCTTTTTTCCAGGTGTCACTCAACAAAAAACAGTTGGGGAGAAAATAGTTAGAAAACCAAAGGAGTAAATGTGCTTCATGGGGTAGGGAATAGGGGCTGGGCCTGTTTTCACTGGTCTAAGGGACCATATACCAAGGTAAGAAACTCTTTACCAATGAGGTTTAGCACACTCTCTACAACTTCTATTCATAAAGAATTGCTGAGATCACTGAGAGGTTAACTGTCAGCACTGGGTCTTGAACCCAGATCTTCCAAGCTGTCTTCCTATCCACTAAGCTGTGTTGCCTCTTAGACTTTGGAAATCTATGTAATAAATAGTCTATCAAACTAAGTGCAAAGGGGCTTATACCTAGTAGCTTGATCACCAGGTGATAAATATTTGGATATGATGCTCCATGAAATAAAATGCCTCAGTCCTTCTTGCTTCTGCAGTGACAGTGGTCTAAGAGGGGCCCAAGGGTCATTGACAGATTCATAGTTGTTGAGATCTTGATTTAGTAACTGAAAGAACTGAACCACATGCATGTTGACAATCTATAAATGAAATCAGAAGACAAAGCTAATTGGAAAACTGGCTAATAAGTAAACCTCAAATAGGTAAATAAAGAAATTGGAGGAGTGTTCCACAATCCTTGTGGACTAGATGCAAAGGTGTGATGATAAGAAATTTGGCATCTAAATTTGTTGAATCCCCAGACAAAGAATGGTGTCTTGTTGCTGGATGTTAAATTGTAGAGATATGTTTAGTAAAGTGGCTGTGGATAAGTTCTGGGGTA